ATAGGAAATTTCGGCATTTTGTATTCAGTATTGAAGGTGAGCAACCACACTATGGTATATAGCAGGGTGCGATAATTCGCGTACCAACGTTACGTACCGGAGGTACGCCAAATTTATGGTCTGGTACTTCTTTGTTTTTAGGCAAGTACCACGTAGGTACGCGGAAATTTGCTATTCGCGTACTTACATTTTCCTTCTAGCAATAACTAGCAAACCTGCCAAAGTATTCAAAACCGTGAAGAACTTTAGCTGTACATGTAAATTCCACGCATCCGACATATTTTGGGATGAAAAAGCCAGAAGGTTATCTTTGCGCTTGATCAACAAATTTATCGTCATCGTCCGACTGAAAAAAAATCGCTCGGGTGAGCGATTTTAAAATCGTTATCGTCAAACGATAATTTTATCGTTTTCGTTGTAGTGTGGACACCAACATAATTTTTTTACCAATCATCGCGTGTTTACAAGTTATCGTATCGTTATCGTTGTGTGGTGTGACCTGGGCTTAATTGCCAATGCTATACGAAGGCCTAAAAAAAATACCTGTGGTTCCGGTTTCCCGACCGACCCTATTTTTTTCTGCCCACCCAATTATTTTTTTCAACACGATTGACCGTGTGACCCTATTTTCTCCGGGTGGTTGCGGGCCGCTCGCACAGCGTTCCAAAATGGCGTCTGTTGTCACAATAATTATTGAACCAATTGCCTAAATTCGTCCATAGGAACTACGCATCTCTAGTTAATATTGATGTCGCGACTCTACTGAAAATCGCCCAGCAAAAACCCGCGAAAACCATGAAAAAATATTTAAAAAAAAATATTTCCGACCTACCTACCCTAAGTTTTTCGCGATATGAAACCGGAACCACAGGTTTTTTTAGGCCCAATGACGAAAACTACATTGTATGTAGCTGAGGTCAGACTGTTAGCACCCTCGGTAAATCCACTGTAAATGAGCGATGGCATTCGAGTCACAACGTTGACGCTTTGAAAACTGTTATATTATGTTGTACAAATACCATAATTAAAGATTCATTTGTACAAAATTGCCCATACATTTTTTGCTTTTGGACCAGTAAACTATACGTATAGGTATAAAAACCCATGACTCGGATGTGGTCTTAGGTACGTCTTGACTCTTAAGTTTGTACCAGATCAGGTACGCGGCAAAAGTTGTCGGAGTACCAGTCAGGTACGGCTAAAAATATTGAATTATTGGGAGGGATTCAATTACCTGAACAAACCCAAATAAAAGTACTTGATTTTTTTAAATCACAGGCTTTTGTCTGTATTTTAGGAAGGTGGAGGATATTTCATTATTAATGGTATTGAAAAAGTTGTTCGAATGTTGGTGCTGCCTAGAAGGAACTACGTACGTATTAAACGCTAATGAAATACGACGCTTGTAAAACGTTTAACTGCTGTATCAGAAAGCAACTAGATCTAGTTTAGTTTAGCATGTTTCTGGACTCTGAGGTGGATGGAAAGCTTTGACAGGTTTTATAAATAATTGATAAATGTTTTGGGGGGTTAGTTAGTTATATTTAGATCAATGCCTAATATTTAGTTTTTCGCGAAGACCCGGAGGAGTGGACCAACCAAACTCAACTTGGCTATACAATCATGCGTTTTCAAGCTTGCCTTTTCAATCAAGCGAAGTAAATCCTGTTCTTGACTTGCAATGGCAGGCTTACTTTTACTTACTGTGACTCAAAGGCAGCTCGCCGACACGTGGTCTGGTACCATGTCTTTCCGCAGGAGCGGACGGCGTTGGAACTAACGACTTTAGCACTATGTAACTTTCCTTTCGTTCCTATCCTGCGGAGGGTTTTCCTGGGTGCAAACTGGCCTTTTTATATTACTAAAGATCTAATGTAGAATGTGTCATGTTCGTTCTGTAAGGGCTGCTGTAATTGGCGTAAAGCTGTAGCATATACCCTGCCATTGATTGATTGATTGATTGATAGTTTGTATATTCTTGTGTTTGTATTTGTGCAGATATGATTGTGTGAAATTGGCAAAGCATAATAAATAAATAAATAAATAAATAAAATAAATAAATAAATAAATGTGTTTCATACCTTGGGCGTATAGAAACTTGATAATTAACGACATGATCATAATGTTTGAGTTGAAGCTATAATAGTGGCTCTACACCGGGAAAGCTGAAAAAAGTACTTGGATGCGGTGGGAATGTTTCAGCTTGCTCAGTGTGGAGACATTCGGAGAAGTATCATCTAAAAAATTCTCTGAGTTGTAACGCCACAATTATTATACATTTATGTTCATACAAGACACGATACTGTTGAAATTATTTTCTTTTTGACTTTTGATAGCCCCTAGCAATTACTCGTTCATCCTGGCGAAAGCGTGGTCCTTTATACACTGAATATGGAATTCAAATTCGTTGTGTACAGAAAGACCAAACAGGCAATGTGAGTTTTATATTATTGAGTGTACTGTATATAGTCTAACATTTATCGTAGTTCACGTGATAGTGCCATTCATTTCACGTGCTCCAGAATCATTCTATAATAATGTTCGTCTGGTTTTATGGTTCTGTTCCATGACTTTATGGATTTCACTCAATGCCACGAATTCAGTCACGATTCAATAAATGTTTCGTTTTTTCCAAATCCCACTGTTCTCCGTGCCATCCAGTCATTTTAATTATTCACAGGTCCTACAATATAATGTAAAGGACTTCTGTATTTCAGACAATGGTACTTCACTACCTTACCGATGGAACATGTTCTCTTTCATTCATCTACAACAAAGAACAGTTTTTCATGCCAGTTATGTTTATTTTAAAGGTATTTGATTTGCAAGATAACATGAATTAAATAAACAAGTGTGAATAGTTTTAACAAAAAATAAGATTGCTAAATGAAAGCATCATGCACAAGAATTTTTGTGCCTCTTGTATTTTAAAATGACCAGAAATTACAATAATTACATCGAGTTATCCTATACACAGAATGGAGTGGGCAATTAAGAACCTTTCTAACATGAAGACATGCATCCCTTGACAACCTGTCCGCTGAATGCCACAACTTTTTTGAAATCTTCAAAGTTCAAACATCACAAAACAATATGTTCCAATATGACCTGGAAATCGCAGTAAATTACTTCATTAAAGAATATTCAAGTTTGATCTCATGTTTCAAGCCACCAGTATTACAGTTAGTATATATACTGCATGCATGTATACATGAGAATTAGAGATGCAATGTATATAATGTACTCTCCAGAGTTATTGGGATTGGAAGTATTTGTATTTTTGAAGGCTTTGTATGATACAACTGATCAACATATTTACAAAGAACTTACGAAAGATCAAGAAACAAACACGTTTTTAAAAGAGTAAGTTTATACTTTTGATCATTGTAATCCTTGTATTGATGTGATACCTGTTTTTATGCAGATCTCTCCTGCTCGTATTTTCAATAATAATTACAATCTGTTGTTTTGATGTTGCTAATTCAGTTGTGTTGCAACCATGTTGAGGCAAGCACAAGATAAAGAAGTAACGACACAAGCAAAGATTCTGAATTATATTGGTATGATATTTTTGTGTGTGTTTTGGTGTTATGTACTCAGATGAATATAATGTTTTTGATGTTACTCTGAGTGTATATCCACACCGGGAAGCCTGACCACGGTGGGAATCGAACCCAAGACCTTTGGGGGATAACTTTTCAGCTAACTGCAGGCTAACTTTTCAGCCTGCCCGGTGTGGATATATAAGTAACATCAAAAACATTATATTGGTATGTTTTCAATTGGAAACCATGATACTGATAATAGTGGTAAAAATTGCAGCACGGCTTGCGACGGACCTTGTTGCATGATCTTGTCTTGCTGATCTTCTACCCGTGTAAATATTGAAGTTTAGATTTGACTCCCACTACCATTACAGTACCTTTCGCTGGCTTAGTGCATGTGATTGGTTAATCGGGTCGATTAAACTCATCTGATTGATTAATGGCCCCTTAATTGTGGAAATAAAATTTAAACCTCACTAATATCAGAAATACCTTTTGTTCATTTAAACTTCATATTTTGAAAATTATTTAGCAAAGGTATTTACTGTACTAATAATATACATACAAATATTACTCGATTGGTTGATTTCAGTGCAGTTAATGTCAAACAGCAGTGCAAACATGGCGGCCGCGCTACATCAAATAAAAGTTGAGTTCGAGTGGAAAATAGGCATGGCTTTTTTTTTAAATGCAGGAAAAGACTTTACCTTAAATAAGACTAACAAAACGTACATAGTTGAGTGAAATTTTCAAGCCCTCGAACATTTGTGTGTATATTATTAATACGTAATAGCCTAATAGGATGGTTTCTCCTGAAATTTGGAAAACTCACTCGTACATGTTAATTTTATCCAAATTGCACTCAAAACCATCCTATTACCTATATTTAATGCCACAAACTAAAGGATAGTAATTTTGAGATGACCACTTTTTCTCCTATGAAATCTATCAGTTATTTGTACTTATCAAATCCAGTGACCAACTCAAACTTATACATACTTGTCTTGTGGCACTTCTTCAGTTACATCATTAGTTTGTCGTATTTTTCTTGTATTTATTTGTTGACTGATTTGTTCATTATTTTAGGTGAGAGATTTCGAGTGAAGTTGGGTTTACCTGAGTGGTATAATAATGTATCAGCTGCTAAATTTTTAATTCGGTAATTATAAAATTTTGAATTTCATACTGTAATTCCATATAGTATGTACTCACTTCACTAAGAGAGGATCACCAGAGAACACTTCGTTTTGATCAGTGGCGGAAAGTGGTGTCCACTCGGCCACACTTCACCCACGGTGAAGCACACACCGGAAAAGGGAGCAAGGTCCATAACGGCGGGGGCCCTTACCCGCGTCCTGATCTTCGCATCTCTCGGTCACTTCACCACGGGGAAGCCCGGTCTGGACACGAGATTCAAGGTCCATAACGGTGAGGGCCCTTACTCTCATCCTGATGTTGTTTGTCCACCTTTTCTAGGGGCCCTTACCTCCAGAAACCGCACTTTCCATCACCCAATTTGGTCACAAAGTTTTGCGTGATTTATTAAATTTTAAATTTCATACTGTAATTCCATATAGTATGTACTCCACTAAGAGAGGATGACCAGAGAGCATCATCCTAAGTATATCTTCAACTGACTGATATCGAAGGAACTAGACTGAGTTAAGAAATATAGCCCACCCGAACCGACTTGACCTCGTATCTAGCTCAATTGGTAGAGGATTGGACTAGCAAACCGAAAGTCGTGGGTTCAATTCCCACCGCGGTCAAGCAAAATTTTCAGCAAGGCTGGTGTGGACACGCTCAGAGAGCATAATCCTAAGTAATATGTTTAACCTAATACGATATACGTGTTACATAACATTTCTTTTTGTTTTATTTCAGGAAATGCATCTGTGTTCATTTGGATTCTTATCTTGACAAATTTAACCTCATTGTGTAGGTTATGAATGTACCTATAGTGATCTATAGTTTATTTGATATTCACTTACTCTGAAGCAAAGACGCATTGGTCTACATTCTCACAGGAGGTGATCAACAACATGATTTTATTTTCCCGTTGTGTTTAGGTTTATGATCAAGAAGTTATACGCTCTCGCTCTGGAAAAATGTGCAGTAGAATCAGCTGATAATCCAATGAATCAAGAATTACTTCTTGGTGGACATTTCTATCTTATGGTTTTAAAAGTAAGAACTTATCAATAGTCGAAGCAAATAACAGGAGTGCATGTCCGTAATATATCAACTTAACAACTTTCGTGTGATTGTCGTCTTTTACGACAGGGTTAAGATTAGGGGGATGGGGTTGGAGTGGTCAGAGTTAAGAGTTGGTGGTCTTATTAAAAATAGAATTCATTGACGAAACTCACACGAAGTTGGCGAATTGGTATATTATAGACACCGTGAATAACAGTTATTATTGCTGTGTTATCTGATATGGGCCGTGTGATTAAATGTGCTGAAACTTTGCAAAGCTATTTATTTAGGCTAGTGCACTCAGCAAACATTTTGATTTCTTTGAATCGTGAAGTGTCACTGGCTCCAATCTATGACAAAAAAATCTAATGTCTTGATACACCTTTTCAATAGTTGCGTCGCGAATACGTTTTTTGGCCTGGGAGCCTCATGACTCTCATGTTCAAGACGAAACAACGAGGGAGATAACAGCAAGAATAGAAAAAGCCGTTGCAATGTTCACATACTGTACGCTCGGAAATTACACAGAAATCGTTTCTTTTTATCTAGAACGGGAACTGAAAACGTTTGGATTTGTATTTCTCGGGCCAAGGAGAGATTTAATTGTGACGCAATTACATGCATGCATGTTACAACATCTTCAATAAATCTTCCCTGTTACATGACAAGTTATGATTATTATTTATTTTGTATATCTTAAGGAGAAACTGGAAGTATGGTTGACCTCTCTAAAATATGCTTTGGAGAAAGATATCAAGAAGAATCCGAGCAAATTTACTTTAAATTCAAGTAAGGTTTTCTTAATTTCCTACCATCTTTGTGAGTGTTATTATTATATTATATAAGTAATCATACTGAGATAAAAGAGGAATAGCTTGAGTCGATTACCGATTATCTCATTGGATGATAATTTTAGTAAACAATTCTTAAAATAAAAATCAAACAGAAAGTTGGGAAATTTTTTTAGAAACTTCCTCATATTCTTGAGGTACTGGTCAAATGAATACATACTGTAACTTGTCACGAGCCTGAGTAATGGTTTTTATTCCGTGAAGACTACAACTAGGCAAAATTCGCATTGGAAAAATAGAGTATTCTCAATGTCCGTAAATAAATTTATCAGAATGCTGTCATTATCACGACTGTCAAGACTTCACTTTCAGTAACGGGAATGGGAAGGGTGGGAATTAATAAGAAAGATGGTAGCTTTAAACCAGGGCACGTGCTTTAAACAAATGAAATGGAATTTCCATTGATATATTTCTGGTAATATCGTTAAACACATCTGTTTGGCTTTGTTGTGAAATTTCTCGTCTTCTCTTGGTAACATGCATGCATTGGAAGCTTTGATGTAAATATTTTCCCCACAGCGTCTATACTGAAGAACATGGCTCATTGTTTCAACTTGACTCATCAGATGGGATATTTATTAGCAACTGGTACTCTACGTAGTAAATCTGGACTTGGATTGATGCAGGTATAATCTCACAGCTCCCCGCCAGTCAGAATAGGGAAATTTTTCATGTATTTTATATAATCTTATCATGGTAAAGGGATTTTTTTAGATGTTGTCTATAGTTAAGAAAGCTCATAACAATTTCTCTCTCACAATTTTACCCAGGTTGCAGGTTACTCAGTGGTGGCAGATAAACTCAATTATTACAGATATCTTTCACATTTCCGCTGTGTTCATCGCGGAGCTTTCTTCGCTCAAATGAGAACAACGTCCGTGAGAAAACTTCTGCCAGAGGCCTGGGGTGAGGAAGATTGCATTTAAGATATAATACCCAAGATATGTTTTAATAAAAACATCTTCAACATAAAAACATTCTTGAAATTAAGGTGATATTTCATGACCCAAGATATGTTTTAATAAAAACATCTTCAACATAAAAACAATCTTGAAATTAAGGTGATATTTCATGAGTATCAGGCCGATTTAAAAATATAACCATGTCAAACACTGTATAACCTGGACCTACTGTACATTAGTTGTAATAAGTTTGAAAGTCTTATCTCAGCATATGTTCGTTTTATATTTGCAGGATTTTTATGCCCAGTTCATACACCAGATGGGGCGCCCTGTGGATTATTAAATCATTTAGCGGCTATGTGTGAGGTATGTTGAGTTCTTGGGAGAACTCATAAAAACAAAAGTACAGTGTACGAGAGTTGAAAGTGGTATCTGCCTAAACCATTATATTTTTGTAAAGGTCCAACCCATTTGTAGGATATTGAGGTGCGAATTTATGTTGCCAACATAACCTGACTCTCTTGGTCCTGCAAATCTCAGTTCTTGAAACTACCTACATGAAGGCATTGGTGTGTGTGGGAGGATGGTGGCAGTGCCCCCCTTCTACCCCGCCCAATAGAACCCGACACAGTTCTGATAATCATCAGCCTGCAAGGTGAGCGAAAGGCCTTCGCTCGAAATTTTGAAGTGTTTTTCCGTAATCTCCTTAAGTTAAAAGGTATTTTAATTATTACCTTTCAAGAAGAAGGCATTTCATTAGAAGTATTTGACACCACAAATTGCTTCGAGAATTACAATGAAGAGAAGCCTGCGCAAGAGTTTTCAGTCAAACAAATGTAGGACGGACATTATCCACGACCACTTGAAACATGTAATAAATGTTAATTACCGTTGTTGGCATTTTACGATGAACAATGGCAGATCAAACATTGTCTATTGTGACATTGTCACAAATTTCATTATGTTTAAAGAGCACTTCAATAAGTTCAAACAATCAGCGTGAAGCCTGTAATTGGCCGACCAAATTAAAACCTATGGAATGCTCTTGACAAACATCAAAGTTTCACATGAGAATGGATAATTTTATCTACGACTGTTCTTTCGATGCAAGCGACGGTAATCTACGAGAATATGTAAATGCAAAGATTTCTGAAATTTTAAGTACCTTACTGTTTTAACCATAGGTAGTGAATATTTTACCTCATACCGCCCACCTTCCTCGACTGTTATGTTCACTCGGTATGACCCCCTGGGACTGTCCTACGTCAGCATCTGTGACGTCATGTTACCCAGTGTTACTGGATGGTAGAGTGTTGGGGTATGTTGAAGAACAGTTAGCTGACGACTTGGTAAAAAGACTTAGAATAATGAAAGTTGAACAACTAGAACAGGTCAGTTGATTGGGAATCGCAATCATTTCTCCTTAGTCCTCTTGAAAGCTGATTTACCCGCGCGTCGGCTTCAATGAATCATAGACGTTTATCATAGGAGTTAGCATTCCAGTTTATTTGTAGTTCAATGGGTTGGCACGACACGTCTGTACCAGAACTCGGTACCATTGAAGTCCGAGTCGGTCAGCACTGCATTTCATATAGAGTTAACTAAGGGTCTGTTCATATTAGTATAGGTAATCATGCGATGACGAGTACAATTAGTCATTAATAGTACGAGTGATGTTTGGAAATTTTGCCAAAATTGGACGAGCCGCCGGGGCGAGTCCAATTTGGCAAATTTCCAAACATCACGAGTACTATTAATCCCTAATTGTACGAGCAACATCTTGTTTATACTTGTTTATTAGAGAGGTTAAGATACCCCGGTTCCGGTTTACGGGTACGAGTATCGCCATTTTGTTTACCAATTTTTGCTGATGTCAGCAATTTTACCCGTAATTTCTACCCGTTTCCCCGCGGTAAACCGGGGTCTACACGTAAACGACAAACGGGTACGGGTGTTTTCTGTTTACTATTTTTGGGCCGCTTAAATAGTACAAATTTTCAACATCTTACCTCAATAAATAATGCACATATGCTGGTCAAAGTTTTGACAATTTATGGCGAACCTCAACAGCGAAAGTTGCCATTCTCTGATCGGTTTTCTCACGCCGGAGTATCTTGGATTTCTTAAGTTACAAATTATTCCCCGATTTACAGGTACGGGTACGTGTATATCACCCGTACCCGTAAACCGGAATCGGGGTATCTTAACCTCTCTATTATTAGCATGACAACATTGGATACTTAATTCTTAATGTCAACATCATAAATTCTCTCGCCAAAGACCAGTCCTGCCGGCTTTCAACCAAAATTTGGTGCTTTTGTCCGTATTTTCATTTAGTTCTTTTGTTAAAGCAAAATTTGGTGCTTTTGTTCGTATTTTCATCTAGTTCCTCTAGGGAAATTTCATTTCACGCTTGTGTTTAAAATACCTTTCCGCCACTTTGTTTGTTTTTGGAAAATCATTAATTGTACTGCAGTACAATTAATGAAATAATTGTACTCCTCTCAACCAATCAGCATCCAGTAATTTTGTCATGCTAACAATAAACCCACTTTATACCGAGAGGTCTCGGCTTTAAACTGGTATGCAACACAAATATTTTAACGACATTGATAATTTGTTGGTTTGTTTGCAAGGAAGAGCAATGCTTTGGCAATCTATTTTTTATATGTTTGTGATGTTGTCTCTGAGTGTGTTCACACCGGGCAAACTGAAACGTTTGCTTGACCGCGGTGGGAATCGAACCCGCGACCTTTGGTCGTTTGCTAGTTCCGAAATATCACGCGTTCCGAAATAGCAATGGTAGGATAAAAAAAAAAACGATTCTCTATATGCATGCATGATATAGAAATTCCACAAAAGTATAAGTCCAACTGAGCTACTGGTCAAGTCGGTTCGAGTGGGTGATATTTCGGAACTCAGTCTAGCAAATAGCCTGCGTTGCAGACGGTTGTTTTTGGGAGGACTTGCGGGCGGGAAAATTTGATGATATCCCCATGATATTTTTTCAAAATATTCCTCCCTGGACATATAAGGTGATAAACAGTTTATCGTGTATTAGATAATGAATATAATAACAGATTCAAATAGCTGCAATTGCTAATTATCACTTGCATTGCTTACTTGGTCTTGTCGTTAATGCGTTCCACCACATGAGCCCTTTGCGCTTTTCTGTGTTGTAACTCTTTGTGTATTTCATTGTGAGCTGGTCTCATTTTTAGGTTCCCAAACATTTGGAAGTTTGTTTAGTTCCTTTCACTAAAACAGCAAGTCAGTATCCTGGTCTTTATCTATTTACAACCCCTGCCAGAATGACGAGATCTTTATTAAATATCGCTGCTGGCAAACCTGAAATGATTGGCACCTTTGAACAGGTAATCAATAACTGCCGGCAGCTGCTGGAACATTTTCCAGGCGGGATTCAGGCTGATCAGAAAGAGACCTATAGGGGACACGTTTTTCATTGCGGTGCCTGGCATCGCCACAGCTGCTGTCAAAATTGCCATAAATTGCAACGCTTGAGTATATACTGACTGGTACCGATTATATGCATGAGGCATAAGCTGCAAAAATCACTGTTATTGAGTGAGAACAATAGAATGCGTGTGACTTTCAGATGGTTTCTATTTTTTATGGTTTCGTACTACAGTAACTAATCTGAACAACGACCTCCCGACTGTCTCGAGGTACGGGACAACCTTACTAGAGAGAACAGCTTAGGGTCATCCAGTCTGAATGAGTGATGAGATAATATTTGCGTGTCATCTGATGGTGAGCATGTCGCTAGCAAGGTTTTTGTTAACCAGTGGTGACAACTGTCCAAAGTGATTGCACCTACACTCTGACATTTTGAGGTTTCCTCCGGTACCAATACTGGACCAATAAGGCGTAATCCTTACTG